AACTTTAGTCTAAAATTGATTTGTAGCTTATTTACTAAGACTTCTAATTGCATGTTAAATTTTATTTTATTTCAATTAATAGATCCTTAGATATTTTAAAAATCCTAACAAATCCTAAATTATCCTAAATCTTATATCTACTTGCAATTTTGATTAGATGTCTCTTATTTACATTGTCATAAAAGTATAAACTTTTGCATGTATCTATCATATATAATTATTTATATTCTTGAAAAAATCTAATTATAGGTATTACTTATAATCCATAAACCAATCAAAAATACTAGTTCTAATTTTATTGTATAAAATCCTAATTTCTAATAGAAATTATAATTTAAATAGATATTTTAAAATTTTTTCTATATCTAAATATAATATATATATATTTTTTTCTAAAATAAGCTTTGAAGTTAGCTTGCCAATCTTACATGTTGATCTCTCAATACTTCCATATTTTTTCCAAGACTTTTGTTTTATTAGCTAAGCTTTGATTTTGATCATGAGGTATAAACGGTTGTCTTTTGAATATTAATTCAATTAATCATAGAATTCTTTTAGCATAATCTTATACTTGGCTTCATCTTAAATCCAATCATATCAACTATTTCTCTAATTCACTTTATATAAACTATGTTAAGAAGTTGTGCAATTGAAAGGAGCAAATATAAGTATATCTTTATTACAAGTAAATCCTAAAAACTTTTCAACTATACTGATAAAAAAGTCAAATTTTAATATGCCAAAAAAGTTTGATACAATAAGATCAAAATTTCAAAAAACTTATAAAAATTCAATCTTTTTTTAAAGATATATTCTTTTTAATGACATTATTAAAATATTCAAAAAGGATTTAATTAATATTTCTTTAGGCTTTAATAAAGATTATTACATATTTTATAAAGTTTATTTTAAGCCTATTAGAGTATAATAAGTTTCTTTTTAGGATTTTTGTAAGATTTATAAGAGATATTAAAAGCTTATTATAAGATTTAGAAGAGATATTAGAAGCATAATTAGAAGCTTACTTGAGTTTTTTAAGTTTGCAAAGAAAGTTTTTCTAAACATCTAATGCAATTTTTTTGGATTATAAATCTAACTTTAAGATAAGATTATATCTTTCAACAACCAAATATCTAGTACATGTTTGAGTTCATCTGTATATAACATAACAATATAAAGTTTATATTTTCAAGTAGCTAAGAATCCTAAAATATCCTAATTAAACCTTAAAGAAACCTAATTAAATCTTATTTATCTTAAGAAAATTTCAATAAAAATATTAATAAAAATAATATTAAATTTTAATTAAACTTAAAGGCATTTAAATCTAATCTTAACCATACCTTAATCAAATCTCAACAAAATTTCAATAAATCATAATAAATTTAATAATTTCTTATTGAAAAGTTTTCTAGAAGATTCATAGATGTAATTTCACCTTTATACATATCTAAAGGTGATTGGTAGGATGAACTTTAGGCCAAAAACTTTAATGTCATAATTAAACAAGAATCTAATAATTCTAATAAAATTCTTATTTGAATCTATGCCTCAACCACTACGATCAATGTAGCTTGATATTGCCAAACACCACACCAAAGCCATTGAGTCAACAATGGCATAACAATCATCATATGCTACAATATCATCTTGATGCAAATTCTACTACTATCATGTGGTAACATGACTATATAATAAAAAATAAAAATATGGATTTATTATAGAATAGCATATTAAAAAGATTTATTAGAAAAATAATGATGAATAATTAAAAAATACTAAAAAATTCAATCTTAATGTTGTTTTTTGTAGAAGAGACTTCTATTTATTTTTTAGAAGCATAAATGAGCCAAATCAAAATAAAAGAGATAAAAAGTTGATATAGGATTTTTTAGGAGTTAAAAATAGGTTAAATAAAAAATTATCTCAAATTATCAAAACTTGATATGTAAAGAAGATCAATTATCAACCTAAATTGAAATTAGATCCTGAGCCACAAAACCATGCATCTATAGCAACTTCAAGGTTCTTTTGCAAATCAACGAGTGAGATTTAAGAATAGACTTGAAGAGAGATTTTTGAGTATTAATTTTATGTCGTTTGGATTAATATTGAGATTTTGGAAGATTTTCAAAGTTAATAATGTACCTAGTGGATTTAGATTTTGAGAAATTAAAATAAGTTCATAAATTTTAGGATTTTATGAGTTTCATAGGATCTTTAGAGTGAAAATAAAAAAAATTGTTTTTTTACTTGTTGCAAATGTGTATGAAAAATTTGAAGTCAATCCAACAGTTAGATTGAAGTATATGAGGGTTTTGGTGGATTATGGTCTTGGATAATTGAGATTTAGGGTCAATGAATGATTTTGCAATCTAGCAATACTTGCTAGTTTGATTAAAGCAAAAATTAATGAGAGTAATTTAGACTAGAATATCTACATACAATCCAAAATATAGAGCAATTGAATGGTTCAACAGGAAAAATTTGTATTGAACGATCAACATTCAAATCAAAGTAAAAAAGTAGCCAACAATTGAGAAGTTTAGGGAGCTTTTTTTGCTATTGATATGTGCGATCTTCAATTTTTTTTGTGCTGATTGCTAATTTAGTATTTTCAATGTATAAAAAGTTTAAATCAAAATCAACATTTTAGTCATTAGTAAATGAATTTTCAATCTACTATAGGATTTTTAAGAGTTTTGTTTTAGATTTATTATGGATTGATTAGGATTGATTTAAGGTCTGAGATTTGATTAGGATTTGACTAGGATTTGAACAAGTTTTGACTAAGGTTTGACTAAGATTTGACTAAGATTTGATTAAAGTTTAACTAAGATTTGATTAAGATTTGTGTAAAATTTGATTAGAATTTTTCTGAAGTTGGATTAGGATTTTATTAGAATTTCATTAGAATTGATTTAGGATTTAGGATTTCAATAGGATTTCATTAGGATTTAACCTAAGTATTAATTATAATTTATTATGGTTTCAATTACAATTTTAATTAAGGTTTGACTTAGGATTTATTTAGAATTTTTTTAATTTTTTAATTTTTAATATTTTTTGGATTGTTTATTATTTCTTTAAAAGTTTCTATATATAATTTTATTTAAGATTATTGTTATTTCTTTAAAGGTTTATTTTTATATTTCTTTAAGATTTCTTCATTATTTTTTTTAACATTAATTTATGACCTCTTTGTGTTTCTTTTATAACTTTTAAATTTATTTTGGATTGATTAAAATTTGATTAGGATTATTAAGGATTATTTAAAGTTTGTTTAAGACACTATTAGACTTGGTAGGATTGTTATTGCTATTCTACATACCTTCCAAAGTAAGGTGCCTAGTGCATTCTCAAGTAAGAACACACTTAATATGAAACTACTGCCAATGCTCTATACGCACTCAACCTTTGATTAAATCCACTTTTTTTGTACTTAAACACACCAGTGACTCATACCAATAATTGGATTCATATTCTAACTAAGAAGCAGCCCCATCTTGTGGCACTCGCAGCAACAGTCCATTGTTTCACCTCTAGCACGGAAACAAAGTACAAGGCTTTGTCTGATGCTACCAGAGAATCTGTCTGGATCAACATTCTACTCGGAGACCTAGGAGTGAAGCATAATTTTCATACCACGAACTTTTGTGACAATGAAAGTGATATTAAACTGGCATTCAACCTTGTATTTCATCAACTCACAAAACTCATTTTGGCACACTATCATTATTCAAGAGAGAAGGTGGAGAGTGGGGAAATTCAAGTTATGTTCAAACCATCTCATGAGCAACTTGCGGACCTTTTAAAAAAACCACTACGTAAGTCCTTATTTGAAAAATTCAGAGATCCATTACAATTCATAAGCTCCAAGTTCACATATCAATTCGTACAGCCTAATGAAACGCTCAGCCTCTTCTCTTATTCTGAAGCTCTTATGAACCGCACCCTTCACTCCATGCACCGTTCTCTCAAACTCAGCCCAAGTGGAATAAACCCCATGAGGAACTCCTTTTTTCTTAGCATAGTATTTTTCCTACTCCACAACTCTCTCTCTTCGCCAAAACCGGAACCTTAAATGTTGGCACATTCAAGCTAGACCCCACCTAGGCAAGCTCTTTGGCGGCTACAAACTCATGACTCTATTACGTGGTTCACCGAACCTTGGTCCTCTGGTGGAGCTCTCGTACCCAAGGCAAGATCATCATGGGCACTTCCGCTGCCACGGGATGGAACTTTCCCATCAGGTACTGAGGGAGGGTGTTGACATATCAGCCCTTGCTTTGTTAGTTTGACCTTCATCCAAAGTCACGGTGATCGCCCATTACCGTAGCTGTTATTCAATTGGCTTTGTATTCTTTGACGTTCACTGTTCACTCAGTATTTAAGTCCGACCTTGTACCTCATTTAAGTGTTGAGTAATGCTTGGTTTTCTTTGAATTCATCATTACTGATTGATGTAGAAGCAGTACCCAACATCATCTGTATTGTTGGTCAAGTTTCTGTAAAGTAATTCTCGTTCATTCGCAGGGTTGGTCTTTTTGCAGGAGAACATTATACGTATAATTGAAAATGTTTTTGAAAATATCAAGAATTGGTAAGTCCTCATCGTAGGTATGCTTATGAATCATGTATATATGTATGTATGTATGTATGTATATATGTATGCATTTTCATAAATTTCAAAAAATACACCATAATATGGTTGTGTGATTCTTGATTAAATTATACATTATTATACATCAATAACAGACTTGAACATGTTGCTCTCAACCAACCAGAGCCATCGGTGCTCCAATGAAATGAAAATCCTTTCAGAGAGCTTGATGGCATGGTGGCACGTGTCGCCAACTCCGCTCACCAAATATAAAAATAGGTGGTGAACGATTTCGAACGGACAGAAGGGATCTTGTTCGGTAGACGTTCCTACACCATCTCGATACCCGGCGGGTATACGGGGGTTGAGCGAGAATGCATGATGCTTGGAGACATTGAGCTCCAAGCCATTGCAAAGTGCTAATGGTAATGGCGGATTCTCCTAAACCCTAAAAGCTTCTTCGCTGTTTTCATGTAAGGTTGGAAGACCGAAAGAGGATTGCTAGATTGAAGTAGGGGGGCTGAGGTCGAGTAGACACGGCATCATCGTCTGCAAGGATGGAGAGTAGTGGTGATTCGGTAGATTTGGTGCTGGTCACAAGGCCAGCCGGATTCGGAATGCCTACTGTATGTCCTGCTTGTCTCCCTGTGTATCTGTACTTGCGACTTGCTGCGGTTTCGTTTCGGGAGCAGGTGTCTGCCGTCGAGCCAGATTCGGTGGATTTGCCCTGTGTGGAGTATGGGGAGAATGTTGGATTCTCGAGCGAGAACGGGGGAGTGATTGAGTTTCTGCGCAAGGAGAAAATTGCTGATTTAGATGCGGACTTGAGCGACAGTGAGAAAGCTGAGCTGGAGACTTGCAAGGCGATGATGGAATCGTGGGTTGCGGATGCCAGTGCGTTTGAAGTGTGGACGCGGGATAATGATAGGCAATGCAAGGTTGTGTATTTTTCTGAGTTGCCCTGGGGGCTCGTTCAGGCGCTGGATTGGAAGCAGCGGCTTGCTGTTATGCAGCGGTTGGGCATCACACCTGAGAACACTGTTGCAAGGTCCGAGGAGCTGTTTAGGAAGGCTAGTAATGCTTACTCTGCCCTCTCTGTTCTTTTGAGCGACCGAAAGTTCTTTTTCAATAATCGGCCGACGAGCCTTGATGCCCTTGTGCTGGGCCACCTCATCTTCCACCTGCGAGTGCCATTTGAGATATCAACGTTGAAAGGAGAGATTCTTAAATACCAAAATTTGGTGGATTATGCGGAATCTTGGGGTAAACAGCTGTTAGACAAGCAAGCAATCCTTGCCAATCCTGCATTTCGTCCTAAGGCACCCCCATCTCCCCCTTTGAGGCCAACGAAGCTAGGATCAAATGAGAGAGAAGAGCCGGCTAAAAAGGCCAGAAGTGAGTCAGATATCCTTCTAAAGAAACGGGCTAAATATTTTTTGATTGCGCAATTCCTAGCCGTCTTAATGTATATTTTTATTGCAGGATATGAAGTTGATGATGAAGACCTTGACGTGGATGATGATTAAGCTTTTTCATTATCCATTGATTTGTTCTTAGGATTAAGTTTTCAGCAGGTGTCATTCAAGGGGCTTTCAGAAGTATCATTCCTGTCTTCCAATTTTTACCTATTTGCTCTGTATAGTTCTGGTATTGCTAATCTACCATGTTTTCCCTTAACAATTAGGGTTTGAAAATACATGCATATCTACTGTGGTCTGATATTGCATTAACTTCATGGATTCTGAGGGTAGATGTGGACTTTGTACCGGCGAGTTTAGCTCATTTGGTGCTGTGTTGGTAACATGATAGTTTCAACAATGTTTGATATATTGTACAAATGATACTGATTGTGTAATGGCAAGCTGTTAACAATTTGGAGAAACTGTGTAAAAAAACTGCGGATGGAAATTTTAAATGTCAAGTTGCTTCTTGGATTTGTGTGAAGATTTGGTTGAAAGAAGGATGGTATAGTTCTGTTCCACATCCAATTTTTTTTAAAAAAAAGTGTACTGCAAACATGTTTTAAAGAACTCTAATTATTTGAACTCTCTAGAGTCTTTTTGACAGAGGATTCTTCTATATTTATGTAGCAGCTGAAATTGGAGAACAGATTTTTGTAACATCTGAAATTGGAAGTTTATCTACAAATAAGTATTAGAGATTAAATCACCTATGTAAAGATTTACAATTGACTTAGTGTATTATTTTGTTCAAATATTATTTAATTTTATAGTGATTGTGATACAAATAGATGTAAAAGTATGTAATGATTAATTAAAAATAATACCATTCTATCAAGGTTGATTTGTATTGGAATGGATTTATTTTGAAATTTGCAATAATAATTTGAAGTAATAATTAAAAAAAGAGTTTAGAATACAAATATATTAATATATTAATAAATTAATATTGTACAATTTTTGAATAGAGATTGAAATGAATATTAAAGGATTAAATGATTTCTTTACAAAAATTCAATGTTTTTTTTAAGATAGTGTGATTAAGTTGGTTGCACAATAATTATGCATAAAACATCATTATAAATTGTTATATTTGATACAACAATTGATTATTAAATTATAAAATTTAAGATATAAATTATACTTGATCTCATCATAATTATTTAGTTTAAGAAATAAAATAATATTTTAATAAGTAACATATTATTTAAAAATATCATAATTGAATTATGAAATAAAATATATTAATTAGATTAAATGAAATCATAAATAACTATCAAGGATGTGAACTAAAAGATGATGCATAAACCAATGAAATTTGTGTCAAAGAAAGAGTGACAAAATAGAAATAAGAAAGTACGTATATTAAAAGAAACTAGAATGGCTTATTTCCAAAAGACAAAAAAACTTGAGACTCTTGAAACTAAGTTAGAAGTAAGAAAGGACTTGACAAGAGTGAAGAGAGCTTCACTCTTGTCTCTCTATATATTATTTAACTAGGGGCTACATGGCGATGTTCTATAGGACCTCCAATATGTGTTGACTTTGTAGGACACATGCTTTGACTTACAAGGCAAGTATTTCTATGCGTAGGCTACAAAGTTAGCATGGTCTTCAAGCTAACAACATGTGTGGCACATGACCAACATGTTGACCATGTTTCTAATCCAAAAAGTCAATTAAAGACATCCATAAAGTCAAAGCAGTATCTATAAAGCTTTCGGAAAGCTTCTATGGAAGATATTATAGAATTAACTTGTTTTTACTTACTTCTACTTATTTCTACCTATTTATATAGGTAATTATTGGCTTACATGCATATGTCCGTGATATTACTTCTCCTTCTAGGGATGAATTCCACGAGGAGCATGTATCATATGTTGAGGAAATTTATGATGCAACAAATTATATTTGTCACATACTCAAATCTTTGTTTTCTTTGAAGATGGTTGATAGGGCCTTTCAACCATCGATAGTATCCCATACCAAGGCGAGAAGACCATATTGTTATCTGATCGTTGTTGAGTCCTTCATAACTTCATTTAAATAAAATATTTCGAACACTGTCAGGAGTTGTTCCTACTTCTAATAAAATTACCAAACATCGAAAGTCTCTTCCAAGGTCGTGATACCAAATGCATTGTATCTTGCTATCTATTCAAAGAAAAACATGTTGTTCTTGAGGATCTTCATCTCAATTATGTCATCTTAAAGGTTATGACAATCGACAATACATCCGACACGTCAACAAACAAAGGTTCTTCAGTCGAATTTGTTGGTTGTTGGTTCTCCATCTCCTTAGCATCACAACTACAAAGAAGCTACAAACACTGATTGAAAGTAGAATGTTATCTTGCCTAGATCTTGTTTCTTTTATAAAAAATTTTTTTATCTTGATTTTGATGGATATTATCGATGAAAAACTTCTACCAGCTTTGTTGCATTTGTAAGATTCTTTACTTGCTCCTATGTATATTCACTAATATTATATCCATGCCAATAGACAAGATATTCCAATTTATTTTGGTGCCGCCTTAAATCTAGAACTTCTTCTACTTCGAATTCTTCATTTTTGTCCACTTCTATAGGAGGAGGTAGAGCTTGTCTTCTTCTTAGTATGTCCACTATCTTGTATGGTTCAAGAAGAGATACATGGAATACTGGATGGATTTCCATTAACTCCGATAGATATAAATGATATGCAACATGATTGATTTGTGTAGAAATAAGAAATGGTCTAAGTCTATGATAGTCCAACTTGTCACAAGGGCAAGTAGTCTTCATATAGCAACAAAGTAACCATACCTTGTCACCTATGTGGAATGGTGGTTGTTCCTTTTGATAGACCTCTGCATTGATCTTGTATTGTTCTTGAGCTTCTTTTAATTGCGCCTTCATTCTTATATGTAGCTCTGATAAATGATTTGTCAAATCTTTTGCCATATAATTATCAGCTTTTGAAAAGTCAAAAGTATCAAGTCATAGATGATAATCATAATTGGTAAAGAAATACGTTTGTTTTGTAGAAGAATTTACCATGTTATTACAAAAAAACTCTACCAATGGCAAAAGAGTTGTCCAATCATCTTGTTGGTAGTTGATGGTACATCTTAAATACTGATCCAAAACTTGATTAATATGCTCCGTTTGTCTATCATTTTGAGGATGGAATGTTGAAGATAGTTTTATATCTACTTTTAGAATCTTGAAAAGAGTCCACGAAAATCTTGATACAAACTGAGTTTTCTTATCCGATATAATATCTTTGAATAATCTATGACAATGATAGATGTTGTAAAGAAAGAGCTTAGCTCTTTCTTTACCTATGATAGATTTTTTACATGGTACAAAATATACCATCTTGATAAAATGATCTACTATCACAAATATAGAATCATAAGAACCTAAAATTGGAAGATCTATGATAAAATCTGTAGAAACAAAAGACCATGGTTGTTCTAGAATAGATAATGGTTGAAGAAGTACTTAAGGTCGATGACAAGGAGTTTTTGATCTTGAATAAATATTGTATGATTAAACAAAGTCTTTCACACCCTTTCACATTTGTGGCCACGAAAAATCTTTGGATATAAGTTACAAAGTCTTATTGTATCCAAAATGTCCTATTGCTAGAAAGTCGTGATGTGTTTCAAGAATATATAATCTTGCTTCTCCTTTTGGAACATATAATTGATCTTTAAAATAGAGTAGGTTGTTTTTGAACTCAAACTTAGAAGTATCTTGGAACTTAGAAGAAGGATTCTTCATATTGTGAACAAAAGGATCAAAAGATATAATTGATTGGATTTGTTTTAGAAGGGTCGAATCAATAGTCAACATTGATTTCATTACTCAAAGATGAAAATGCTCTAGCTTCAAGAGAATTGTTCTTTGCTAATTAAAAGATGCATCTCTTACTTTTGGTGGAAGATAAGAATGTCTAGAAAGAGAGTCTGACAAACCTTATTGATTTTCGAGTCTACATGTGATCTTGAAATCAAATCTTGATAAAGACATGGTTCAATGGGCTTGGCGATGATTTAAATTATATGTAGAAATGAAGTACTCGAGATTTTTGTGATATGTATATACAATGATTGGATTAGAAGCGCCTTCTAGATGATGATGCCATTCTTAAAATGAATCCACGATTGCAAGAAGCTCTTTGTTGTGGATTTCATAATTAATCTCGCCTGCTGAAAATTTTTTGAAATGAAAAGTTATTAGGTAAAATTTGTGATTTGCTTCCATTTGTGATAATACAACACCCTAAAGAAAGTGTGATGCATTTGTTTCCATAAAAAATGCCTTAGAAAAGTTGATACAATACAAGATTGGTGTAGAAATAAAGGCTGACTTTAAAGTTTCAAAAGATGCTTCAGCTTCTTTACTCTAATCAAGTTTGTCTTTATAAGTCAAATGTATAAATGGAACTGCAACTCAAGAGAAGTCTTACATGAAGATTCGACAATAGTTGGCAAAGCCCATAAAATATTAAACATCTCTTATCATTTTTGAAATCTTCCAATCTATAATTGTTTGAACTTTTTTAGGATCCATCATAAGTCTATCATTTGAAATGATATATCCTAAGAAGTCGACTTGAGTAGTGTAGAATACACTCTTTTCTATCTTGGCATAAAGTCCTGCATCTCTTAATTTTTGTAATATACGACGAATATGAAGTTCATGTTCATTTGTATTCTTAGAATAGATCAAGTTGTCGTCTAGATAAAAGACAACAAAATTGTCTAAAAAAATCTAAAAAAACATCATTTATTAGATGTTGAAAAGTTGTCAGCGCATTTGTAAGTCCAAAAGATATGACGTTGTATTCAAAATACCGATACTTAGTTCAAAACGTAGTCTTCTATTCATCTCCTTTTTTGATGCGTACTAGATTGTATACTCTTTGTAGATCTATTTTTGTGTAGATCTTTGCTTGATTGAGTTGATCAAAAAGTCTAGATATCAAATGTAGAGGGTTCTTATTCTTGATGGTGATCTTGTTGAGTCCTCGATAATGAATACAAATCCACAATGACCTATCTTTCTTCTTTACAAATAAGATTGGAGCTCCTATTGGTAATTTGGAATGGCATATGAAATTCTTGGCCAAATTCTCTTCAATATATTCCTTGGATTTAGCCAATTGTCACGGACACAAAATACAGACTTGAAATCTAACAAGAAGTTCAAGAAGAAGTGACAGAACTAGATTGAACAGATGAATACAAGAACAACACCAGAAAGATGAGCTAGAACTCCAAGAGATGTGTTGTCGAGACTGAAGAACTCTTCAGCCTCGATCCCTATATATACTCTTACTTAGGAAGCTTCTCGAGCTACTTCTATTAACTAGGAAGCTTCTAGAAGGTTCCACAGGCTTCCTTTTTAGAAGGTTCTAGAAACTTCTCAAGCT